TCAATTTGGCGCCCCCCCCCCCCCTCCCGCCGGGGACAAACTTTCAATTTGGCGTCCCCCCCCCCGTATTTTTTTATATTTATAATGCAAAACTGTACCTAAAAAGAGCTTTAAAATTTTTCCCACCCAATTTGGCTCCCCCTAGGGTTGGCGCCCGGGGACATATGCACCCCGGCCCCCCTCGCTACGCCTCTGCTGAATATAGTATTACCTATGACCGCAATTGATGAATTAGCCCCTCTGGATTCCCCTCTGGATTCTGGGCTCATAATCGTATAATTAGAAATATCGAACCCTCCCGCGGTGCCACACTTAAGAATTGTTTTCTTTCTCGAAACCCTTTTCACCAACTCCCCAAAATTGTATGACTCTCGTACGAACAGTGTCAAATTGCATCTGGCTTTTATTTTTATGGAGAAAAATTGCATTGCTTCCTGTCAGATACCCCAGATCGAATGGGGCGCCAAAAGGGGTAGACAATTTTTTAAAAATCCTCATTCTTCAGTAAAATTTAAGAAAACAGATTTATACATGACTGATATCCTCAATTATTTTATATAGGGGAGTGTATGTAGGGATGGGCGCCTTTTTGCCAGCGTTTAAATAGGGTTGGCACAACATTGATAGTTCGCCTCGGGCGCCGGAATAGGTTGCTACGCCTCTGCTTCCTGCTAGGGCGCCGCCCTGGCGAAATCTTTCCGGGGGGGGGGGGGGGCGTGCGGACACTGTTAAAAGTATATATTTTTTTCTATATAAATTCCGTTTCGTTCGGAGGTGGGGGGGGGGGGTCGATAGACATTCTTCTGGGGGTGGAAGGCTCTGCTTCCCCCCCCCCCCTTAATAGATTCCTGGAAAAAACTCTGTTCACAAAGTTTTATGGCGATCCGATGAAAAAGATGTAGTAATTCATATAGGACAAACAGATAAACATACTTTCATTTCTATAAATATAAATAGATATATAATTTTTCTAGTGTCCGCATACCCGCACCCGGAAACTTAGTCACAATTTTCTTTGTTACATTTGAACCCTTTAGGTTAATCAATATTAACAAAATTGAACAAGATGCAACAAATATAGTTAACCAAGAAATTGAACAAGTAAAATTCACGTTATCTTTTTATTGTTTTTAGATATAGATTAGTAACAGACTACCTACAGGTCCTAACTCGCGACGAGGTACACATTTGTATTAAAACACAGATCTAAGACATTTTCCTTTAGGTGGGTTTTGCAGTACAGTGGTTTCTTAAGTCGTGGACAAGTGATTGCGCTTATCTCTGTTGAGTAGCAATGTATTCTGTCCTATATTAGACACATCTGTAAATATCTGTCACAATATGGGCATAGAGATGATATAACGATAGCTTATCTTTGCGGACGACGCTAAACTTTGGCATCGACACCATGGCCTACAAGTTCAAATTTGGTCCTTCAGAAATGTTTGAAGTCTCTAGATTAAAACTACTTTTCTCTTTTATGTGCCTACTAACCACATCACATGTATTTGTTCTGAAAGTCTAAAAACAGAGGCACAAATATATCGTCTAGACTTGTGAGGTCTACAGATTAGGTATTTTGGCAGTTATCTAAGCCCTTGCCTGTTCTGACTCAAAGCCTTATTCTTTCTCTATCGACGCCTTGCGTAACATGGGATTGGGTTTTTAAGGCGGCATAAAGCTTTATGTTGTTCCTTTTTGAGTACACTAGATTAAAAACTAACGTTTTCAGATGCCTAAAGATGTTTAACCACTAATTAATCAGAATAATGGGTCAAGATTTCAATTCTTGGTTTTGGGACACGTTAGTTGCCGGGGTTGAGCTAATGTCGATAGCATAAGGACTGTACCTTGATGCGGGCGTTTTATTTGTTGCCCATCGTAATAATTGAATGGTTGATGGGGCTTCTTCAAGGGTTTGATTTGCCGTAATGTTAATGATATCATGCATGTGAGGCTTTTGTAAGAAGAAAATGCGTTAAAACACTTTTTAGTTATGCTTTTTTTAAATAGGCCTATATTTTACGACAACATAATCGTAATGAACAATAAAATGAATTTAAACAACTTTAGAATACACCTGTTTCGGCTAACATGAATATTATTCTTCAAACTAGTAATGTTAAACGTGTCTTTTTCGCATTTTCGACTTATAAGCTTTACAGTAAATTCCGATAACGTCCTTATGCATACAAGCAAGCGAAGGCGAGGAGGGGTTTAATAGTGATTTAATAATGATACTTTCTTACCCCTCTACTGGACATCATGTTTGGTATCTTGCCCCCGGCAACTGGGTGGATTTGGATTACACCCAAGTTTTACTTTATAGTAAATGGCTTCAGTTTTAATTATTGGAGTTGGTTGCAGCATTGACACAGTTGAAGGTATTCAGAACAAGGTGGCCAGGAGAAATCGCATTAATTAGTATAAAATTTACCATTACTAACAATAGGCCCTACTTAATTGTTTAATGTTGCTGGATATTAAGCCTAGTAAGTATTTATGTTTATTAATTTGTACAGAAACAAAAAAAGGATTCCAAAACAAAGTTTTATTTTTCAGAAATAAAGAAAATGATACAAATCAATAAAGAACAGTTTTCAAAAGAATTTGTATATAGATCTAAGTAATTATTATAAAATAGGAATATAGTATTGCATAGATAAAAATAAAATACTTGACACAAACAATATGAGGAATATTTTTTATCAGATAAGAGAAAAATATATGATGTAGTTTGAAAATAATAATCTACAGAATGTAGCTTTTGCAGATTAAAATGAAAATTCTCATGCCTATATAATTTATTGAGTAAATGAAGCAAGGCCCAAAACACTAGGCTAAATAATCTGCATGGGACAGGCATTGAAAACTACAAATTGCATATAGTGAAAGTTACCCTACTTTTATTGGCTATATCCACCACAGTAAAGATTTATGGCTTTCTTACCTGCTTGTAAAATTGTTAAGGAAAAAGTGAAGTATTGTTAACTTTTTATGGCAGGCCAACTACGGGCTGTATTCTGGGAACATGTCATCTGTAAGGGGTGTTGTTCTCGGCACATGTTGTCATTTTGTGTGTTCTCGGCACATGTTGCCATTTTGTGTGTTCTGGGAACATGTTGCCATTTTGTGTGTTCTGGGCACATAATGACATTTTGTGTGTTCTGGGAACATAATGCCATTTTGTGAGTTCATGGAACATGTTGACATTATTTGGCTGTGTTCTGGGAACATGTTGCCATTTTTGTGTGTTCTGGGAACATGTTGCCATTTTGTGTTTTCTGGGAGCATGTTGACATTATGTGGCTGTGTTCTGGGAACATGTTGACATTATGTGGCTGTGTTCTGGGAACATGTTGACATTATGTGGCTGTGTTCTGGGAACATGTTGACATTATGTGAATGTGTTCTGGGAACAGGTTTGTTTCATTTTTAAATATTATAATAAAACAATTTTAGAAATTCTATATTAGGAATTGTGTATATATATATATATATATATATATATATCTATAATATAAGCGGGCTGTGTCTGTCCTTCCTTCCTTCCTTCCTTCCGTCCGTCCGTCATCGCTATAGATTTTGGGACTATAAAAGTAAACTACGCACCATGCTGTGCTTTTCAGTGCACCGCAGTGTCTTATTATAAGTATTAGAGTAGGGTTTGTTTATATAGCGGCATAGAGCTATTTTATAATTTCCGCTGTTTGTACAATTTTGCATAACGTAAATAGAATATTAAATACACGCACATTGCTAAAACATATTAAAAGGATCAATGTCAAATATAGTTTTCGTTAATATTCCTAGAAAAAGTGGATACATTTTTATAACATAATAACTGTAGGTTAGAAAAATCTAATTAAACTGTTTAGTAATTTTGCCAAGGGAGGTATTTTAAAAATAAATGGAACTCACGCTAAAAATGTGAATGCAAAATCTGCAAGACGGAATAATTGTTGGAATAATATAATTAGCAAAATGTGAATGCAAATTATGCTAACGTGTAAGAGTACATTATTGTTGGAATATTATAATTAGCATTGATTGATAAAAGGCTATCTTTTATTTATTTTATTCACTGAATGTACTGTTTACTAATTATAATTTTTAATCAACTATTACGCACCATTATAGACATTGGGTGCGCAATGGTTTTAGTTATGAAACTCTATTGTAAATTTTTAAAATTTAAAGTACTGGAAAAAAAATGCGTGAATGGATAAAGTGAAATATTGTAGTTAAAACACGGATATTTTAAATACTGCCTATTATTTATACTGTTTACTAATTATTATTCTATCTTTCGGTTTGAGGACAAGCTAGGGGTTTTATAGGAGAGGCGTAGCGAGGGGAGGGCATATGTCCCCGGGTGCCGACCTTAGGGGGCGCCAAATTGGGTTGGAAAAATTTGCGAGGGGGGGGTGGAAATCGAAAGTTTTAGGGCGGGGGGGGGGGGACAGGGGTGCAAATCGAAAGTTTGAGGGGGGTGCAAATCACCGGAAAGGGCGCGATTTGGCGCTACGGGCTAGACTGTGAGCAATATGCCTTTATGATTGCATTTAAATTGTGTTTATGTTATGAGTGTTGTGTTTGTTTTTTCGTTTTTTTTTTTTTTTTTTTTTTTTTTTTTTTTGCGTTCGTTTGTGTTGTGTTTAGTTTTGTTCTGTTCCCAAGTTGTTACATTTAAAAAAGATTTACCTTGGCGGAGCACGGGATGCAGCTAGTATATATATATATATATATATATATATATATATATATATATATATATATATATATATATATATATATATATATATATATATATATATATATATATATATATATATTTAATAAGACAATTGGATGACTTATAATAAACAGCAAAAATGATTCAAATAAGTTTAGAAGTATTTGGCTTGCTGTCCTAACAGTGAACTGTATTCCGAGCTTGTTTCCCTAGTGATAATCCATGTTTTTTGTGCCACCCTTCCAATCAAGTATCCAGCTTTTTCTGCTTGACTTGTGTATCACAATATGATTTTGAATGTTTTTCTGTAAATGAAATAAAGGCAAAATATTTTGATACTTTCTTTTGTGGAACTTGCAAGAGAAATAAATTACACATTTATATTACTATCTCTAATATTTCTTTACTATGACTAATTACTTTGAAAAGATAAAGCACTGAACATGATGAATAACAAGAAACAAACATTATCAGAAAAGATTATAGATTTAAAATTGTGTTCATTCATATTGAAGATTAATGAAGTAGACTATTAATATTTACCCTCTTGATGGCTGATACTTTGATTTGATGTCTTTACTTTAAGCTTACACATCAGTCTCTGTGTGGTAAAATATGAAATAATATGCTTCAATAAAACTGTTTCAGTATATTAATTACATTAGATAAGTACATAGTTTTGAGCTCTGTAACAATATGTGTTTCAATTATCATTCAAATATAATACCCTCTATGTTGTACAACTCACTGAATTATTAGAATTTAAGAAAAGACAATAATTAATATAATATTTTGGATTAAAATCCATTATATTTATTATAACATATAATGCTATCTCTTGCTATAATAATTACTTTAAAAAATGGGTTATGCCTATTCAGTTACCTGAGGATGAAACTAGGCACAGTGAGACTGATTAATATCCATTATAATTGAACATCAGTTGTAGTTATGAAATCTGGATGGCCAAACACACACTCATAGTCCTGAAAAGCAATGTACACATAGAATAGCAAGAATATCTCACTAATTATTAAATTAAAGCTAACCCCTATTTAGTGCAATCCATCAAATAGTTGCATTTTTGTTAAGCTGTAGACACAATACAAAGTAATGTTTGTTCTGTGATTTACATACTTTTATAAAATAGCAATCAAATTACACACACACATACACACATATATATATATATATATATATATATATATATATATTCAGTGTAAATTTGTACATTTTAGTTATGTCTTGTTATTAAATTTATTTACTCGACTGATCTAAACTCACTTTATTTATACATAATATTGTGGATAAGTATAGTGATTTTATTATTCAGCAATAAAAAGCAGGCCTAAATTTTTTTAAATAGTAACGTTTGCGAATGAACACATTAAATTCTATGTATTTCAATTTCTATGTCTTTCCCAACTTGATGCATATTACTAACCAAGCACTAAACTATAGTCCTAAATAATCTTGACTCTTATTACTATTTATCGGACAACCTGAATCTTTGCTATACCATGTTCTAATATATTATTTTAAAAAGAGCTTACCACTAATTACTAAAATCAATTGTTTTTAGTATTAACTGAGCCGAACACTATCTGCTGCTATTGTCATCACCAGAAATCCAGTATGCTGGCAAGGTTTAGTCTCTAAGTTCCCTACAACCTCTTTCCTCTCGAGTGCGGAAAACATTAATCATTATGCCTAATAGTTTAAAGGTAGTATTAAAGTAGTACTAAATAGTACGAGTCTTAGTTACTGTAACTATGGGTCTAATGAATATTATTATTGTATATGCTTACATGCTTTAAGTTTTATGCACAATATTGGTATATAATATATAGTCTATAGTATATAGCCTAAACTATAGAGTATATATAGGCCTATTACCTAAATATAACAGCAGCGGGTGTGGGGAAATTGCGAGACGCGAAAAGCGAAATGGCGAGGCGGGAAAATGCGAGAAGGGCGCGAAAACGGTCGGTCACGTGACTTTTTTGTCTCGCATTTTACCACAACCCGATACTTACGCTGGGTGGTGTTGAAATGCGAAGATTTCTGCGAAAAATTTACCGCACCCGATTTTCAGTGGTATTTGGTCCAGACTTCAAAGACGTTTCGTTTACATTGTTAAAACTTCCGATTTTTCCGTCGCTAGACATACTGATGATTTGTCAACTCCCCCCCCCCCATCTTTTGTGTCGACTTAGAATACCATCTTGTTCGAAACCGACGGAAATACCGCCGACGATAGATCAACTTCTTTCTTTTGTGTGGAACGCCGAAGCCGCCGAAACCGTCTTTGAAGATCGCCGTGCCGCCGCAAACATATTTTGTATTGTTGCATAGAAATGTGTGACGTCACACTATAAAAAAGCAATGTTAGAAAAAGAATTGTAGACGTTTTTCGTGTTTTAGAAAACTGTTTTCATAAATTGTAATAGGAATTGATTAAAATACAGAAATTAAACAAGATTTTGGGAAAATATCGATGTTTAAAAAAAAATTCAACTACAATTTTGAGGGGGGGGGGGTTGTAGACTGAGGTGTGACGTCATTTTAGTGGGAGGGGGGGGGGGTCTGGATTTTTGTGAAAATGTGTGACGGAGGGGAGGGGGAGGGGGGTAAAAATCGTCATTTATGGATGACCCCTTCTAGCTATTAAATGGTAGTTTCGTCCATAGCGGACTTTATTCAGATTATCTACAGACGCACATTTTTTTCCATTATGTTCATATTCGTGTTCTGTGTTAGCACAGTATAAATGGGAGTCTAATGAACTGGTGGGTTGGATGTACTATGTGTGAAAGATGGTGTGACGAGGTGTGTTTGATTAATGCTAGGACTGTTTCAGAAGATTTTGTTTGTAAATTTTGTTTGTAATTAAAATTACTTAATAAAAAATAAATTACACTTTTAAGAATTGTTTATACTTTTACACTTTTTGCAAGTACAACAATCCATGAATACATGTTGCAGAATATCTCTCCTGCTGACAAAATTATACCAATTCACAATGACACAGCTCACGTTTGTATAAACATGAGCGCGCTAGATTTTTAAAATTAATGCCGACTGAAACGGGATTTTCCTCTCGCTAACGAGAGCGGGCGATGACAGTAGCACAGCAACGATGTTAGGATTTTTTAATAGATCTAGATCTAGATATAGATCTATCTATCTTCTTAGTATCTATCTATCTATCTATATATATATATATATATATATATATATATATATATATATATATATATATATATATATATATATATATATATATATATATATATATATATACATATATATATATATATAAAATAAAATCTAGATAAAAAATAACAACATACAACACTCGTGTTAAAGGGTATGGCTACATGCTAGTTTATTTTAAAACAAAAAAAAAATAATTTAAATAAATAAAGATGAAATAAGCATGAAAAAAAACTTTTTTTTCGCAAAAAGTGTCTCGCTATTTACCCTTGATTCCGCAGGTATGTCTCGCATGATCTTCTCGCATTTTCCTGCCTCGCCATTTCGCTTTTCGCGTCTCGCAATTTCCCCACACCCAACAGCAGCTTGAATAATGCTCATCAGCATGCATTCATTATAAACTATAAAGATAAACAAATATTTCAATTCAATTTAATTCTAACTAATAATAGTAAATAGGCTTTTTTCTTGTGGTAACAAATTTAAAGTATAGGGCAGTATAGTTGTAGTATAGGCATAGTAGATTCTATATTTAAGTATGTGGGCTTTTCATTCCAATGCACCACAATGGATACTACACATGATCAAGCTTGACCTCTGATCTAAAGATTTAATAATTGGGCCTAACAAACAGTGAAAGTACAATAAAAATAATGTAAATTACTAATTTAACCTTGTTACCTCCGCTTCTGCAGATTCCTATTTTATTTCCTTCAAACTTTCTTTTTATGCAGCCGTATAATTAGATTCTAGACTATATAGATCTACTATATTCTAAACTAACCAGAACACTAGATCTAAATTTCTATATTCTATGCAGTATGTATTAAACCTATAGGCCTAATATTTATTTTAAATTCCTATGCGATGTGTCGTGAACTGTAGGTTTCATGTTATTTTTTAATGGCGGAAATCAGTTTAAAATTTCGTTTCCTTCGCTTTGTCATTCTATTTATAGATTCTATTTATAGACTCGGAGCAAAGAAAAGATAGGCTTATTATCCACACAGGAAGTGACCGTATATCTATTAGTTACTCACTGATCCGATCATTGACAGATACAGAGATATCCATTCGCATGGGGTGGAGAGACAGAGAGAGAGACAGAGAGCAAGAGAGAGAGAGTAAGAGAGAGAGAGGCGAACTATCCTTTTGGAATGGAGGAAATTCTTTCGTTTGTGGCACTTGCCGCCTTTTTAGCAGCTTTACATATTTAAAAAAAAAAGTTTTACATCAAAGCATTAGAAACATAAAACAGGTCAACTCTACTGCACCTGCATCGTAAGCTACCAGTTTCGAAAGGAAATATTGTTTTCTTACCGTAAATATTAATGAAAAAACTGCAACAAAATGTAACAAATGTAATACAAAAACTAATTATCAAGATTTAGTGATTAGATAATTATATGTAGAGGTCGTAAAATAATTTCTGCGAGTCAGTCACGTTAGATGCTAATAGTATGTCCTTAAGGGATAGAAGCTTCAAAACATAAACATGCGACTTTTGGAGAAAAGGGTCGGATCTATTTGTATGAGGAGATTTAATGAGTGGGGAGTAAATGTCATAAAAAATATGGGACGTCATTGAATAACGGCCCTTTAACAATGATTGGTCGTTTGTGTTTCTCTACTCACGCTGTCACGTGTGCTGGACGTGTGCTAGTGTGAGCAGATGTGTGTGACAGTTATCAAAGGGACGCGAAAGTTGAGTTTGTGGGTTTTAAATTTGTTTTTATTTCTATATTGTAATCTCCCTTCTTAACATCAAAACACACACACATACACACACACACACACACACACATATATATATATATATATATATATATATATATATATATATATATATATATATATATATATATATATATTTATTTATTTATTTATTAATGGTGACAGGACAAATGAACTCAGGACAAATGATCTCAGGACAAAAGATACCAGGACAAAATATATCAGGACAATTAATACCATGGACAATTGATCTCAGACAAAATATCTCACAGCTGTGATTGATGTAGCTGTGATTGATGTAGCTGTGAATTATGTAGCTGTGATATATGTAGATGTGATTACTGAAGCTGTGATTGATTTAGCTGTGGTTGATATAGCTGTGATTGATGTAGCTATGATTGATATAGCTGTGATTGATGTAGCTGTGAATGATGTAGCTGTGATTACTGTAGCTGCGATATATGTAGCTGATATTACTGTAGCTGTGATTGATGTAGCTGAGGTTGATGTAGAGTTAATTGCTGTAGCTGTGATTGATGTAGCTGTGATAACTGTAGCTGTGATTGATGTAGCTGTGTTTACTGTAGCAGTGAATGATGTAGCTGTAGACAAAATATATCAGGACAATTGATACCATGGACAATCGATCTCAGACAAAATATCTCAGACAAAATATCTCACTTCTGTAATTGATATAGAGTTAATTGCTGTAGCTGTGATTGCTAGAGTTTATTGCTGTAGCTTTGATTGATGTAGCTGTGGTTGAAGTAGAGTTAATTGCTGTAGCTGTGATTGGTGTAGCTGTGATATATGTAGCTGTAATTACTGTAGCTTTCATTGATGTAGCTGTAATTGATGTAGCTGTCATTGATGTAGCTGTGATTGATGTAGCTGTGATTGATGTAGCCGTCATTGATGTAGCATTCAATCATGTAGCTGTCATTGATGTAGCTGTAATT